GCTGGTGCAAGAGACCTCAGTTGTCAGCACTGGTGGGAGCGGTAGCCGGGAGTTCTGCGCCGCGAGTCCCGCGCCACTCCTGATTCCCTTGGTCTGGCTATCGCGCTCACAGGAGAGCTGGGAGGGGCCCTTAAGGTTTCCCCGCTGTGTGGAGAGAGATGGCTAGGGGATTACACACCTGTCGCGCTGGTTTCAATGAAGTTATCTCCTCCGCCCGTGACGTCAGTTCTCTGCCATGGTGGTATCCCGTGCAAATGGTGACCGTTCGTTCCCTTTGCCGGGTGACCAATGCAACAGGTGGGTCCTGACTGTCTTTCCCAAGCCCCGTTTCAATCCTGTGGCCACTGCCTATGAAGGCTCTGTTGGCTTTTACCTCTGTAAGTTCAGACGGGCCGACCAGTTATTTCAGCGGGATCGTTAGTGCTAAGTCACGAGAAGCAGGCGAACTTGAATGCAGCTGATCCGGGCTCGGTGCGTGTGTTCTGAGGGGCCCAGACTGTTCGCCCCCGATCCACGTCAGCTCAGCATTGCCTAGTGATCCTGAGCAAACAGCATTTAGACAATTTACGACTCCCTATGCCCGCGCAGCTGAAGAGGTCAGAGACTTGATCTCACCGCGCCCGCCGCCATGTTGAAAAACCGCCAGAGCTGCAGTTTGAACCATTGCCTTCACTGCCTCTCCTGGAGAGGACCAGAACACATCCTTAAAAGAAACCTGTTATCAGCCTGAATAGAATCTGTTGTGTCCCTTGTAGTCTGATCCTTTTGAGTTTGAATTGAGACTTTACTCAGGCGAATAACCTGCCTTTGGTTTCCCTTTCTATTACATTTTCTTTTTGACATATTTCTAAAATAAAAAATTGATCATCTCTCTCCAAGGTTCCTGTATGTTTAGTGCCTTTTCTCTTCTTACAATACAAGAAACCACTCGGTGTGAAACATGAGTTCCTGAGACCACGCCCAGGCTTGGTCTCCCTACCACCACCTCCCCAACACTCCTTCTCATGAGAATCCTACACAGTCTCTGAGCGAGCCAAGGTGGCCTGCTTCCCTCCCCACATTGACCTCCCCTCATGAAATCCTGCTCATTCATGGAAGCCAGGTCAGCTTGGAGACAAATGGCATGAAGAGTGATAATCAGTATTACTATTATTTTAAAATAATAACTCAGTCCCAGAAAGTCAAAGGTTGAAAGTCTTCTCTGATATTCAGGAGCTAATCCAAAATAGGGGGAGGGGTAAAAATGTATATATATTTTTTAATTTTTTAAAAAAAAAAACAAGAAAGGAAAAAACAAGTGGAACCAGGCATGGTGGTGCACACCTGCATTCCGAGTGACTGAGGATGATTGCAAGTTCAAAGCCAGCCTCCCCAACTTAGCAACTCAGTGAGACCCTGTTAAATAAAATGTAAACAAACAACAAACAAAAAAAAACAGTGGGGGACTGGGGATGTGGCTCAGTGGTTAAACAACCCTGGGTTCAATTCCCAGTACAAAAAAAAAAAGAAAAAGGGAAGTTGTTCATCAAAATAGAGGAAAGATCAGTAGAGTAGATGAGGGGGATTGAGAAAAAAAGAAGGGACAGGAAAAGGGAAGAACATTGGAATGGATGTGACTTAACTTCCATATGTGCATGCATGGATGTGTCCACAAGACACTAATTTTAAAAAACGAAAACTGTAAATGGATTGAAGAGGGATTGGTGGAGTGGAGGGAGGGTTGGGGAGAGTGCTTGGGACTGAATCAGGGTGGGTTGGGTGCCATGCTTTTGTGATTATGTCAAGGTGTAATCTGGAGTTGTACCATGACTAAAAAGAATTTTTTAAAAAAAGGAAAATAAATTTTCAAATATGAATTTCCATAATGTTCAAGAAGGAAAGATTAATTGAAAAGGTCTCAGCCTTTAATAAAACTATGTGATCAATGAAGTTTTCAATAGTAGATTTAAATTTAATTTCAGATTAGGAGAGAATATTTAATATCACTTCTAGTGTCTTTCTGTTCAACAATTCTAAATTTACCAGAAGGCCTTTACAGCAGTTTTCTCAAAGTGAAACAAATTCTACTTTGTATATCATCTCTTCATGTTTAATTATAAGGATTTGAATTTGAAGCACCAATTAATCAGTAATTAGATAGTACTGTACCAAAAGAAATTAAACAAAGATAAAAACAAATATACAACTCAGCAGAAGGCCATATCATGTGGTACATTTCATGTAGCACAGTTAAAATACTCCCTAAGAAACACAGTTTATCTGGGTCATTAGCCATGTATTCCTTTGATTTTGTTGTTGTTGTTGTTAGTGGCCACCAATGCATTGGGAAACTTAAAGGTACTTCATATAGACACGCACTCTGATTACACTAATGTTTATTCTTCTTTTCATTCTTCATTGAAAATCTGCTTTATAATACTTAATAATTATTAAATGTAATGATAGATTTTGACAATGCAGAAGAAATGCGTATTTTATAATGATGCATTCCCCCACTGATCTTCATATTTTAAAAAACCCACATAAACCAGCTTTTAAATTTTATCAGACCGCTAAAATAAAAATGTTTACCTTATATGTAGAAAATCAAGAAAAGATCCCAAGCAAATTGAGGAAGGAGGGAAGAAAAGGTCCCTAAAACGAAAATGTACAAGAGGGAAAAGGCAGGCCTGTCCAGCAAGTCCCTTTAGGAATCAGGGGAGAAAGCAAGAAGCATGTCTCCTTACAAAATCATGTCTTTCCCCTGCACCAGAGTCTCACATCCTGGTTCTCAAACCTTTTGTTAGAGAATAAGAGATGGTTGAACAGAGAAGTCAGCAGCTCCTATAACCTAGTCTTGGAATTACCGATGGAAGTACCTGCGACAGTGTACTTCACGCTGTTGTGAACTTGGAGCTGGAGAAGCCCAATGCTCTATATAGCAGTCCATCTAGTGAGCCTTTCTCCTTCAAGGTCCCCAGCTTTTTCCTTCCCTCTGTGACCAGGACTGCATGAGAAACTGAGCCAACAAAACAGTCAGAATTACCTGAAGGTGCTTTCCATTCTTTCCCTGGTACCATTTCAAGAGATTTCATTGCTGCAGGAAACTGGTATCACCTGCACTCACAAGTAGCAGGATGTCATAAATTGCAACTACTAGAAAATCTTAAATCATATGCCAGATAAATGAGCAGGGTTTCCTTCCTCTTAAGTGTATGAAATTGTCTCTCAAACTTCTGTGAAGGGAATTTCACTGTGCTCTCTCAAGTTCGCTTTAGAGAAGTATATTCAATTGCCAGCATCTGAAACAAGTAATTTGTCTTTTCATGCAACAGTTCCCTGAGAAAGAGCATAAGGTGCTTTGAGAAGAATTATAAAGGAAAATTTCAAAGCTTTCCATCTTTTGGTACCTTGAGTTGAAAGAGTAGGCTTTGCTGAATAATTTAGTATCCAGGTGGATATCAGAGAGCCAACCTGGAATGATTTTTGTAACTTGATGAAATTAATTGAGCAGCTTCTCCATTTGGGAACCACTTTATTTTCTTCAGTTTTAAGAATTTCTCTCCACTACTGTGTTGTAATGCAATGGTATGAAGTTCTAAAAGTTCTTTGGTTTTATAAATTATACAGCACACCTGTGAATGAAAGCCACATTTGCTGAAGTGAGACTTCATTTTCGGATATGGCTTATTAATCCTCGATTGTGCTTCTTCAATTCTTCCCTAATTGGAAAATGTTCGTCTCTCAGGAAGTGGTATAATTTATTTGATGTCAATGTACTACAAAATTTTTGCCCCTCGGTTTTAACTGTCTTATTGAAATTGGCATAAACAAGCTGAGTCTGACCACCATGACCATTACCTTACAAAACTTTATTCAGGGTTAACTGACCAAAATCAATGAACTAGAGCCACCTCTTTATCTCAGAGAATGATTACTAGGGGATCTTCTCTTTAACAACATAGTAACTATTTCTGTGACCTATTCTTCCTCTAGCAGAGTGTAAAAAAGAAAACAAAATTGAAGTTTAAACACCCCTATTGCATTTCTCCTCCTGTCTCATCTCAGTAAATGAGATGAGCTAATGCTCAAGCCAACAAGTGAAACCATCCAGTCTCTCCCATTTGCTCATCTCCCTACCCAGTGCAGCAGCCAGACCCACCAGGTCTCCTGCTACTTTTCCTACCCTGGTCCACATCACCACTTTCTCTCATCTAAACTCCTAGCAATCATTTCCTAACTGCTCTCCCTTTTCTATTCTGCTTCCCCTAACGTCCATTCTTCATATGGCAGCTCAGGTATTACTTTACAAATATGAGTCATCTTGTGTCAGTAGGCCTGCTAAAATTTCTTCCAGTGACTTCCCATTCCACTTAAAATAAAGTTGAAACACCACCTCGGCCACCAGACCACACATGCATGACCAGCTCTGCACCAGTCTCCCCTTCTCACTGATGGGTCACGCTGTGACTTGCCACGTACCTTCTTGCGGCTTCACCTCCACATGGGCTGATGCTTCTTCTCGGCGTGCACATCACCTCAGGACCAGCTCCTTCTGGCCTCCACACTTCACCTCATGTGTCACCTCCTCAGAGAGGCATTTTCTGACCACCTTAAGTGCAGCCCACCCACAGTCACGTTCAGGTCCTCCCTTCGTACAGCCTGCCAGTGTCAGATGTTATTTTGTTCCTTTTGGTGGGTTTACCTACTAGTGATTGTGTTTCTTCCCGCCAGCCTATGAGATCCATGAAGGCAAGAACCTTGTCCCCTGTTCACCAGGTGTCACTTGTGCCTAGCCCATCAGCACTCTCAATAAGTGTTGTGAGATGAACAACAAATGAAAGAATCCTTCTCTTCTTCATATGTATGACTTTGACTGAGTCATTTAACCTCTTGGCCTTCAGCTTCTTCATCCATAAAATGATTTTCATGAGGATTAAAAAAAAAAAAGTAAATGGGGTGGCCTAGCCCACAGTGGATTCAGAGTGACACAGTTAACAGTTCCCCATCCTGTCTTACAGGAAATCTTCAGAGGAACTGGACATGGACAAGGTGACAGCAGCGATGGTACTTACCAGCTTGTCAACCAGCCCTTTGGTTCGAAGTCCTCCTGTGCGGCCAAATGGTAAGCCTAAGGTGTGGGCTTAGGAAGTGTCCTTGCCACCAATGACAGGGCCTCTCTCTAAAGATTCTCCTTCCTCAAGTGAACAATTGATCATGAAGGAGAGAAAAATACAAAAGAAATAGAGACCCCAGGGCTATTGGCCTCCTCCACATCTTCCCCAAAACCCCACTGCGTCTTGTCCTGCACCCATTCACCTCACATTTACACATCATCACCTGTTTTCTGCTGTGTTTTCCAGAACATTTCTTTGCAGTACTTGGGTTCCTTTTTCCCAGGTAAATAAAGATTGGCCTAATAAAGTTATTTTCCCTAGCATTATTTCTGTTTGATGGGGAGGTAGTTGGATTAAAGAACTCAGTAAAGACTAAATATTATTTTAAAGCATTATTCCAGACTCCTGAATCAAACAGGATTATTTAGTCCACTCATTAATTTTATATTTATCAGATTCCATCTGGATGATTTGAATACATCATTGGAAAATAGTGTCCACACTTCCAGATAGTACACAATCTCTTTGGGAAAACAGACTATCAAACATAGCCACATTAATGGTAACATTTATTTATTGAGCACTTACTGTGTGCCAAGTGCTATGCTTACTTTATCTCGTGTAATTCTCCAACAATTCTATGTGATGTTGTTATCACTGTTTTACAGATGAGTGAACTGAGGTGCATAGGGATTAATTGGCTTGTAAATGGCAGAACTGAAATTCTGTCCCTATCTTTCTGATTGAAGATCCTGCTCTCTTAATGATAATATAATAATTTTGCAACATAAAATACAGCATGATAAATCAGGAGGACAGGCAGTGGGCAATGGAGTTGGATAGATGAACCAGGAGCTTTACCATGATGGGTCATGCTACCTGGCTAGCAGTGTGGACTTTATACTGAGACTATAAGAGCTACTAAGTATTCAGAGAGCAAAAAGATAGGGTCAGGATTACAGAAAAATAATAATAAGCCATACAATACACATAGGTGGCCAGAACCTTGGTGTTCACAGTGCAACTGAATGGGACACAATTGAAAAAGTGAAATAATGGAGAATCAACAGAGAGGATGAAGGACAAGATGTGTCAGAGATGACTTCCAGGCAGATGGTGTGCTTCAGCAAGGGATAAGGAACAAAGGCAGAGAAATGGATTTATTGGTGAACGTTTAGGGTAAGAGATGGTTTTGCTGAAGATGATAGGTCTAATTTGAAGCGTGTCTGGGACAGCCTAAGATCACTGCACAGGCAACAGCTGGTGAAGATCGGGGTGTAGCCTTGGGAGTGAGATCTGCACTGTTGGTATAGAATTAGAATGTAATGTGTTGAAGCGGTGAGTCAACACACGGTTAACACACAGTTCTCTCTTGAGAGAACTGTATAGAGGCAAGCCCCATGATGAGGCTGCCATCATGTAAAAACTGGCAGAGGAGACAGCCCAGGAAGAGGATTGACCAGAGAGGAGTGACCAGAGAGGTAGAGAAAAATCAGGAGAGTGAAGTTTCATGGAAGAGCATGTTTCAAGAAGAGATGTCCAATGCTTCCAAGGGTCAAGCATAAAAAGGACTGCATTCTGCATCAGGAAAATGTCACTGGGAGCTCTGACAAGAACATTCACAGAGTACTCCCCATGGGAGGAAGCCAGATTTCTGTTCGCCAAAATGTAACATTCTGAGTCCCCCAAATGGTATTTAATAGTGACGGGAAAACCAGCATAGTCAATCGTGAGATTGAGCTATGGTTCACATACAGTTTGGTTGTAAACCTGAGGTGTTCATATAAATTTGTGGAACATCCAGTCAGTCCTCATCCAAATCTATTCCAACCCCATTAGAAGTGGAAAGAACTATTAAGATGCTGGGAATTCAAATATCGGAGTTAGTAAATGCCCAGCAGCTTGATTTACTGTAACCTGAGTGACTCCCCTTACTTAGGTACTGGAGGAGGCCAGGTTCTCTTGAGATTAGGCTGGCCTCTCCTGTTGGTTCAATGAAATGACTTCTCTCTGGGGGGCCTCTTGGCAAAAAAGTATCCTGATTTACCTTTTCAGTCTCTCAGTACAGGAAAAGAAGTATTATACTAAGAGCAAAACTAGAGGCACCCCCAAAATATATTTTAGGGGAAAAGGTGGAATCCTTTATGAGAAAAAAAGATATATTCTAAATTAATCATTATTTTTACCATTGGATTTTTTTTAATAGAGAATATTTTTAGTGCTCCTTTGTATTTAAAGGTTAGAATTAAAATAAACCTTTTGATCCTTCAATGCAAACTTTTGTTAGCATAGTAATAGAGTAACTCGGTGTTCGTTTATGGTTTAAAAAATACCTACTCAACTACTAACCCCAAATTGTCTGATATCTCTCATTTAGTCTGCAACAAGAAACACATTTCTAAATAAGCATTCATTTTTAGGAATCAAAAAAATGTTCTCCAGAGTTATTGTATATCAGTGAATTTTTGGAAACTGTTGTGATCCTTTCGTTGCCTGACAAGAATCATTCTATCAAGAGGTGGGTCTGCAAAGAGGGTGTGAGTCCAGCAGTGCCTGTCTGCATTCTTGGCAAACACTTGTATAAGATATGGAGACAACTGCCCAGTAAGAAAACAGTGAATCAGTTCTGATTTGTTCTGAAAAATTCAATTCTGTATCACTTTTTCCTTCGGATTTAATAGTTTTCCTAAAGGAAATATCACTCACCGATAAGCAAATTAACTTTTGGCATTGATGTGAAGCAATGTAATCACAACTGTATTAATAGTTCTCAAAATGAATTCAATTCCTCACACTTAACGTGATTACACATCTAGCACCATGAACTTGATTCTCTTGTACAAGTGCATACTGGGGTGTGTTTATTAGCCACCTGGGCTTTCCAAGTGAGGTTTTCACACTAAGCAACATCACCTATGGCTGTCCATGGGCTCCCCTTGACGTGCTGTTATCCTGAATGGAGCTTTCTTGATGATAAAAGGCAGCTCCACTCCACTACGGTTATCAGTCTGTTAGAATATAGGGAGTGAGATGATAATTTGGCTTTTCTGCTGGCAGGGTGTGAGCCTCTGTAAATGACCATTTAATTCTGGCACCTGGTTATAATGAACTGGGCCACTTCATTTTCATTTTAAAACATCATGCCTTTAACTAAACTTTTTGCTTGACATAGTTAAGGTATATGCTGGAAATTCTATAATTAGATAAGGTAGTTGAGTTTCTCCATGAATGCTAGTCTTGACTTCATTACTAATTATACAGACATTAATAGTATTTTTTTAATGAGGCATTTGGGGATTTTTTTTCCTCCTTGTAGTTAAAATAGTATGGTTTTAATATATTCAAAATGCACATAAATATGGAAGAGAAGTTATCCAGAAAGAAAGTAGAATTCATACAACTGCTAATTAAGATTGGGCATTTTGAGAAGTAAAGCAAACCTTCGGTGATTAAAAACACCCTCTCCATTAGCAAAACCTTCCCATAGTGTTTTCCACCACAAGAGGAAAGGTAAAATTAAACACCAATCTTATCACTTATTATTGCCAATTCTTACCTGATCCCAGTTTGCCAGAGAAAATATAGGACATTCATAGGATTCACATGCACTTATTAAATCAAGGGCAAGGGGGACAGACTAGGGCTTGAGCCCCAGACCCACCAGGATCACACTTACTAGTCAAGTGGCAAGTCATTTAACTTCCTGCTGCCTCAGAGTCTGTAAGATTGGGAAAACCTTTCCTCTGAGAGGCAGATGTAACAGTGCCAGTGAGCTTTGGTGGTGATTGATTGGAACTGGTGATTGAACCCAGTGGGGCTTTACCACTGAGCTACACTCCCAGTCCTTTTTATTTTTTATTCTGAGACAGGATCTCTCTAAATTGCTAAGGCTGCCTGGGAACATGTAATCCTCCTGACTCAGCCTCCCAAGATGCTGGGATTACAGGCAAGTGCCACAACACTTAGGATGCCAGTGCACTTTGTAAGATGTAAAACACACTTAGAATGTAAGGCACTATTATTTGACAGCTTGAGAAATGGCTTTAGGTAACTATCCAAAAATAATTATTTCTTTTAGAGTCTTAAATCATAAACTGACTTCCTATAATGTATTCCTAAAATCAACAATTTAATGAGTCCTTCCTTCTTAAAAAAATTGGGATGGGGTGGGGGGTGGGGGACTGTGTGACCAAATAATTTGGGAGAATTCTGTAAATAATATCCCTCCCAGATATACTGCAGTCAAACAAACCCAGAGCTCCCCAAACTTCATGAACAAGAAAATCTCTTTTTTTTTTCACACAATCCCAAGGAACTAGTGCTGCCCATCAGAGAACTCAGAAAAACCTGTTTCATCACATGATTAAAATAACTAAATGTTTATAAAGTATAATTGACTGGGGGAGGGAGGATATACAAATAGGATACAAACTTACATACCCACCTGTTGTAAATTACTGAGCGGGATGGCTAAGGCACCTGGCCCCGCGGAGCAGCCCCACTGACTTGCGTTTGTGTGCCTGCAGAGGGCCTCAGCGGATCCTGGAAAGAGGGCGGCTGCGTGCCCTCCAGTACCAGCAGCAGCGGCTACTGGAGCTGGAGCGCCCCCAGCGACCAGTCCAACCCGTCCACACCGTCGCCACCGCTGTCCGCCGACAGCTTCAAGCCCTTCCGCAGTCCCGCACAGCCAGACGATGGCATTGACGAGGCGGAGGCCAGCAACCTGCTCTTTGATGAGCCCATTCCCAGGAAAAGAAAGGTGGGTGTGCCGCCGGAGGGACACTCTGAGCATGGTCAGGGTGCTAATCTCGCCTTCCTTCGCATAACCACAAGCAGACTACCTTCCCCTTTAATGGACTTAGAAGTTTCTAAGTAAACTCGTCTCAATTAAAGACAAAAATAACTGAAATATTGATATGTTACATGCCCCATCTTCTAGGTCTTACCGGTATTTGAAATTAGAAAACGGACTTAAACGTCATTTGTTAATTAGTTCACTCTCCTCGTGAGAATAATTTTTTCATATCGTAAAAAAAAAAAAAAATTTGTTAATATCTTTTTCTCTTCCCTGCTTCAATCATCCCTGAAGGATTGTTAGGAAGAATACTTTGTATCTCATTTTTGTACAACCAGATGTGAAATATACTTGAAAGCTGACATAAAACATATGCACATTTTACTTACTGAAAATCACCACTAAACAAAAATTTAAAAGGAGGTCTAATTAATCAATAAAATAAGTTAATTGGTTACATTTTTATTTAGTCCTCGCTGCAGTCCTGTATGGTAAGCCTATGGAATTTGGGCATCAGGGAATTCATACATTTAATTGCCCCTGTTGGAATGGGCCAGAGCCCCTAATCAAACCCAGATCTTCCTGAACATAAAGCTCATATTCTTTTCATTCTCTTCAGCTACATTTAAATTATTAATTTTGCTCACAGTTTTTTTTTCAGAAGCATTTCTATTTCATGGAATAACAGAAGCATACAGCTAAATGTGGAAAACATTTTGACATCATATTATTTTAAGTTATCATGTCAATAAGAAGCTGGTTTTATATATTTGTTTTTAAATCTGTATCAGTAGTGTCATTATTAATGACTGTCCACAAAAATCCAGGGCAAAGCCTTAAGGAGTACAATACATACCTTTTTTTCCTCCCTGATTCATTTCCAAAAGGCAAACAAGAGATGGCATTGGTCCAACCCCTTCCCTCTGGCATCTCTCAGCGTTGCTCAGCATGTGTGGCAGTGGAGGTGGTACAGGAACTGTCTCTGGCTGTGTAAAAGGGCCAATAAGGGCCAGCTTTTTTGGTTCAGATAAGAGGACATCAGTGTAACCTTCTGTCGTTCCCAGAGGCAAAGGCCTAAAGAGTTGTCATTGCACCCTAGTTTATCATGTAGCAGTGGAGTCATTCTGGCATCCTGTGGGCCCTGGGGATGCTAGGTCTCATTGACCAGTCAGAGAGAGCACTGGCACTTGCATCCAAGGGTACCTCCTGGCAGGACAGTAGCTGGGACCTGAAGTTTTGTCTACTGTTTGAGCTGCCCAGGTTTCTCTCTGGAGGTATCTGAGAGTGTAGTCCTGACTCTCATCAGTGCAAGGACTCACAGCACAGAGAACCACCAGTGCTTTCAAAGTGCATTGCTGAGAGCTGTCATAAACTTAGTTTCTAAGGTATCCACTGAGCCACACTTTATACTCTTGCATTGCATTTTGGTTGCATTTGGTCACTTGTATTGAAGATCTGCAAGTTTCAGCTAAATTAGGGAATAGTCAAGTCCCCAAAGGAAAAGAAAAGCAGCTTCAGTACAAGATGACATTTAGTTGAAGGGCACAGGCCTCCTCTGTAAGGAGGTCTGAATGAAAAAAGTGAGAACCATGTTTATCCTTCCTTCTTTATGAATTTTCCCTCAATTCGATAGGAATTGATCTGATTTTTAATTGTAGGATTTTACATGGATCAAGTTGTTGTCTTGGTCTTTTGGACTTAAAATTACTTTTTTTCCAATATATATTTTTTTTTTTTTAATGTGGTGCTGAGGATAGAATCCAGTGCCTCATGCATACGAGGGAAGCGCTCAACCACTGAGCTACAACCCCAGCCCTTAAAATTACTTTTAATAGTGAAAATAGCAGGAAAGTGTTACCATTGGTTTTTTAAAAATTTATTTAGTGAACCAACTTTTATGGGGTACCCATCAGGCAAAATGCTTCATGTCCTGAGAATAAAGTTTAGCTCCTTCCTTCAAGTGTTGAAAATTAAGTGGATAGGAAGTGAAGTGTCCAGAGGCAATAATAATGGTACATGATCAATACTGTCATAACGATGTGGTAGAACAAAGTAACTAATACAGTGATTTCAAAGCATTTAAAATTACATTTTCTAAGAGTTAAGCATATTAATTTGCTTGAACTAGACAACATGTCCTAGCTGGTGGAACTCTCTGAGATCAATTTATATTCCTGTGTATTTACTCAGATTCATAATATTCATTTGAAACCATGATCAGTTGTAACAATCATATATCCTGTGGAAATTGAGAACTTTCTAGATCAGGTTCTTCCAAATTGCAAGTCTTAATTCCCTAATAGGTTGTGAATTGATTTGATGAGTTGTGAATAAGTACTCTTTAATTAATAGGACAAACTAGAATGTACTATGTATAAGGGTCAGGATGTTTTCATTTCAGTCCTATATTTGTGTGTGAGTGTAGACTGCAAAAATGTGTTTCTTACTGTGGCTTATTGTCAAAAAAAAAGTTGAGAAGCTGTATGTTCTGTGTTACAAAGAAGTAATATGATATATGATAAATTAACATGCCCTCATCAGAAAGCTAAAAATTCCATTTTCTAAACTGAACTTCACTACCCTGAGAACCTAAGAAAATCTCCTTCCCTCTCTGATCATCAGCCTCTTCATCTGTAAAACAGATGAACAGGTATTAATCACACCTCTCTGGAGACATTCACAAAGGTCAAATGTGAGTATAGTTCTGGGATGAGGCGACATTTTAACAGACCTTGTAGGACTTTTAACAAAGCAGGAGGAATTCCCTATGTCTGAGAATGACTTGTGGTTATGGAAGCTGCCTAATCCCTCCTCCCATCTCTCCCCAGAGCATACACTTACTGCCTCTTCTGGAGATCTGTGTTCCACTTTATGTAAAAAAAATTAATACTCAGTGCACAGCGCAGATAAGGCATTGCCTCTTACTATGACTAAGAGATACATTTTCTAATAATCACATTTCATGTTTTGTTACATGTTTATTTTTAGTTACAGTTTACCAAATACTTTTAAATGTAGCGTTTCATTTTATCACACCAAAAATCTTTGGTATACCCTTATCCCATTTTACAGAGGAGGCTCCTTGATGTTACATGAATTGTCCAAGTTTGTATAGCTTATAACATGGCAAAAACAAGATCAGCTTAGCTGAAAGAACAAAGAGGAAACTCTGCAGGCAGATTAATTTGAAGGATCAACATTTCCCTCTGCCCACAGAGGAAAACAACATGGAGGGGAAATAATCAAACAAAGCTACATGGCAAGGTAGGAGCAGGGTGCAGAAGGTTCAGAGAAAGGAACTCAGGCTACCTCCTGGGGAATTTACTTCCTCCTGAAGCATCCGTTCCTCTTAAGAGGACCTGCAGCCAAGGGAGGGAGAATGTGTGAAGGGAAAGGCTGTTCTCCTGGCTCTGTAGGTGAGTCAGCCAACTTTTTCCTGGCCAGTTCTAGCAGAATTTTTCCTTTGAGATTTCAGATGGGGACCTGTGAGCCAGGGCTCTGAGACTTTGGGGAGTTGCAATTCCTGTCATGACCACAGGGTGATGCAGTAACCCTAAATACAGCTACTGATTACCTTGAAAACAAATTCAATGGAAAGCTAAGAGTTAACCTTCAATTCTGAAAGACCCATAGAAAACCCAAAGTGCTGATAGTTATTTATGTGCTCCTTTCCATACCTGACTCCTTATTCTGTCAGGTTCTGGATTCTGTGCCTTCTGAAAGTGGCATGACAACTCCAGTATTTCTGTGACCTTAAGCAAATCACTTGGCCTCTCTCAGCCCCAATTTCCTCATCTATAAAATATGGATAACAGTAGTACCATGTCTGTGGGCTCTTATGAGGATTATATGAGAGATGTGTAGATCAATAAATGTTAGCCACTAATCTGCTCACCTTTTTATCCAGTTGACAACTGGGAAGGCCCCTTAAGCTGAGTGAGGATAGCAATGACAGTGGCAGAAATTAGAGTGTAATACAAAACCTACTCAGGATTCAGCCTTCCTCATTTTCACTTATTTCAGATATCTTGACCATGAACAGTTTTACCTATGTATTGAGGAGAATTTCAAATCAGAGAAGACAGCGCTGAGTTAACATAAGGTGCTTTCAATAACAGCTGTACAGCAGTACACGGGGTGGGGTGGGGGGGGGGGTTCATCATTTGCCACACTCTGCATTTTCAATCTTTCAGACCCAAAAAGCAATGAATCACTTTAAATTGTGAATGATTGCTCCAAAAAAGAAAACAAACTGATAAAACCCTCGCAAATAAGTGTGTTGCCAGTTTCTCCCCTGAGTTAATTCCTAACCCATTAATTTTGAGCAGAGAGTGCCTCTCTCAAGAAGTGCTGCTCCAGAAATAGACCCACTGTTCCAACTGCTGGCAACTGCTGGGAGCGCGGGGCTCCCAAGAGCAGCTTGGGGTCAACCGTGCAATTTCACTGAGCTGACACAGCATTGTCAGCCAGGGCAACGAATTGATTGGCTCATGGAGAGGACCAAGGGAAAAGAAGAGTGAGGTGTAGGCCTTTAGTAACAAGGTCTTAGAATAGCGAGCTGTGTGGTATTTAAGACCCCAGCATTGGAGTTCCAAGGACTTCCGGTATCATCTAACGCAGCCTCAACCTTTCTACATTAAAGGAACACTGCATCTTATCTAGAAATGTACAGGTGTCCCCAAAGATGAATTGCATTTCTAGAATTCATTGATTGAGAATATATGGAATGACTGGGGATTTCTATTAATTCATGAATCCATTTGTTAATACAGAAATCATTTTAAATCACTCTTACTAAGGTATAATTTCTATAGAATAAAAAGGACCTATTTTTAGCATACATTTCAGTGAGTTTTAACAGTGTCTGCACCTGAATAATCACTTCACTCAAGGCAAGCACCACTTTTGCCACTCAGAGGTCATAGGCACTCCTACCCCCAACCAGGCCACTACTAATCTGACTT